GGGGGGGGGGGTTAAATATGTCCGTTCAGCGTTTTGACCAGACTAGAATTATAACAGATGAACCATTTCCATGACATGAACTCCTTAATTACTCCTCCCTCTAAAATGTGAGGGAGAAAAGTCAACAGGGGAGGGGGGCGCAGACTAGTTTATATTAGGATCAAAAGTTGAAATTTCCTGATTTTTTTTCTCGTCTCGATTGAAAACTTCAAAGGACCGATGGGAGAAGAATGAATTGCAGAGGCAATTTTCAAGGCAGGCATTCTCCCTCCACCAATTTGTCAGTTTCGTTTATTAAATTACTACGTCCCCAATCGTTCGCCACCAATAACTAATACAGTGTCCCTTTCTTTATGATTTTGAAGTAATTTACAATTCAAAAAATGAGAAATTTAATTCAAGCGTTCTTTTCAGGTAATTTATATTTTACCCAAATTAGTTTATTAAGCTCCTAATCTCCTACATGGAGGTCTAAATTATTGATGAAAATGAATAAGTACATGAATATTATTCACTATCCCACTTCCTATTTGTTATTGAAATTCATAGTCCATATTGAGAGTACCTTCTTAATACGGCTTGTTTATCCTTAATGACTAGCTTCACTGTATTTGCACCAATGCCAATATTGAAGGAGACATGGGAGGCTTGATTAACTATCAAACCATTTCTAGACCTACAGAATTCAATTTATTTGGGTTCTAGAGGCCTATAAACATTTCGAAGCGTTTATCAAGCCCTGCTTCCTGCGAAAAACCGTAAACCTTTGAATTCTTTTCTATGCAACAACAAAAAAACTAGAGCGGAAATGGGGGAAGGAAACAAGCATAAAGGAGGGAAGAAGGAGGGTAGAGAGAGAGAGAGAGAGAGAGAGAGAGAGATAATAAGACCGCTTGCCAGACCATTACAAAGGTCCTTAGTTCAAAGCACATGGCGCAGCAACAGGAACGGAGTTGAAAAGTAAGTGTCAGGCGGGACTTTGCCTTTTCGGTATGTGAAAAAAATGCACCCATCCTCTCCCTGCCTCTCTCTCTCTCTCTACGAGTAGACCAAACAGAGTAGTGAAATACCAGCCATGAAACAAGATAAGAAAGAGGAGAGAGAGAGAGAGTGAGGGAGTGAGGGAGGGGGAGAGAGGTGGAAGAAAGGGGAATTATTTCAGCTCTCCCAGCATGCATATCCAAAATTGGTATTTGCATTCTATGGCCATCGGAAACTCTCATCCCCTACTTTGACCTATCAAACAATAATTCAATTATTAAGGTGAATACATGTGTGTGTGTAGGAGGCATGGAGGCTAACTGCCTGACAAAGAGAAGACATATTCTCCTTTAAGACTATTTTTCTTCTTTACCATTATTATAGAAAGGGAGTCGGCAAATATTACGAAAAGGATGGCATCCTGACTTTCAAAAGCAGCAAAGAAAGGGCACGCTGCTACGGGGGAGATATTTTAAGCAACGGTGTGGGAGATTTTGTGCTCTCAACGGTAGACAATCACTGTAATGTAAGGAGAAAAGTAGGGTAGATAAGGATTGCATTAAGATAAGCAGTTGAGTGGGCAACCCAGAGACCGCACAGGCTGTTGCGTTCGCATTGTCGGACTAGTGGAGAAGAAAGAAGACAGTGGAAGGAAGTCCCACATAAGCAAACAAGCGGCTGGGCGGTCGCTAGCGGTAAATCTGCATACCTCTTTCCCTCCTTCCCACCCCCACCCCAACCCCCCTAGTTTCCCTTTGTGGGCAACTTCAGACCTCCGCTTTTTCTCCACACCGCCCAGGGTATCAAAGGCATTGGCTTGAAATCTCTCCCACATGAGCTCTGCATGTACCTTACCACCACGTACCTCCAACCCCCCCCCCCCCCCACCCCATTTTAGCATATGTAACGATACTTCCGATGGATTGCAGGTACTAAAGTATTCATCTAGCTGGTGGTGCGTGTGCCGTCTTTTTTTGTTTATGTTTTCATCTTAATCCGAAAAAATCCTAAGCCCCTGCTCCCTGTACGTTTGTGAAAGCAAAGGAATTTGGATATGATTCATTGCATAATCTCATCTAATCGCTTAATACAGCGAAGAGCATTTGACCTGGTTAGCGTCAGGTCAAAAAGATAGAAGTCACCAATACAGCAACTTTCTAACCCCCTTTTTTCGTTATTAAGGTGATCTCGATTTCAATGCAAAGAGTTGGAAACTGGAAAGGTGTTCTGCTATTGTTGGCATTCATTCAAATACTTCGATTGCGAAGTAGTGTCTACGCTTATCGGAGGATGAGCATTGCTCCAAATGCTTCGACAGTAAATCCTCACTTCTGGTATCGACAGCCATCTCCCCCTCTTCCTTCATGGTATGCTCACAGTAGTACAAACTACCGCAATCACAAAGTATTCAATCTACGATACCTAAGTCATTCGGATGTCCGTTGCAACGATGGTACTAGGGCAGGGCAAGTTTCAACTTATTTTTCCTTAAGATAAAGTCAAAGACAAAGCACTATCAATTACTTCTAAAGTACAGTCCCTCTTCTCTTTGTCCCCTAATGTCCATTGGCCTGTCGAAAGTTTTAGGGTATTTCAATCAATTGATATATCACCTCTGCAGTCTAACTCTCTGACACACAGTAGTAAATGCGAAATGTTTCCCTATTTTCGGTAAAATTTGATGTCAATTCAAAGAATCGCATAAGAAAGAACCACTTTTGAGGGATCTTTTTGTTTGAGTTCTTATTAGTCATTTTTGCACAAAAACAAACGGTAATGTTGAATGCATCCACATCACTAAAATATTGATTTTTATTTATTCGTTTTTCTTCCATTCAAGAATGTTCCGGGTAGTGTGTGCCTGTGCGCGCACTTTTGGGTGAATTGATCAAGAGATTGGCTACTCTAAGAGTATATGAAAATTGCCTTTGATCATTTGAAGTTCAAAAGTGCTGCACACAAATTCACTTCTATCAGAATTTAAATTTATTTATTTATATAATAATTATACGCTTTACATTTAAATCAATGCATCGTGTAATTCTTCAATGCAGTTTGTTCTTCGTAAGGTTATAAAATTTATAATTCAGTGAAAAGTTAAACAATTAATGTATTAAATTATTAAATCGTAGGTCTTTGTAATTTGGGATGTACAACTTTAAGATTTCGAAATTTCATATTTGTGAAAATGGCTGTATGATTACACTTGTATCCATTTATCCTCGTAAATATGAATCGCTTTAATATTCAAGTATGGCTTGTGTATTAAGACTGCCACTTAAGTACCAATGTGACCTTGAATTCGCCTTTAACAGAAACAAAGTAGTTTTGAGCCCAATATCACTATTAAATCTCTTCCCATTTTACCATAGTGTATTGGTAAATTGCTAAATTGGTAGAACCGAAGGCCAATGAATCCAATCTAGGTGTATCCAAACTATCGACAACCAAATTCGTTGGCCAAATTTCCTATTTGGGTTTCCCTTCAAATTTATGAGAAAAATGTTCTTTTCCAATTAGTAATTATCCGGTGTACTGGTAGGCCGGTGATTATAGTGAAAGGTCAAACTCTGTGATGCCTTTTGAGTTTTCAGCGCATTTTAGGGTAAGAGAGTGAGAGAGGCCAAGGCAAATAACCGGTTTGTCGGCTTTAACGGCAAATTTCGTTAGCCCACCTCTTTGTAGCGCAAAAAAACTATCGATTCTTGTTTTTTTTTAAAAAAAATACACCGTTATTAGTTAACAAGGCACAGATATGTCAACTGCAAAAACCAGTGCAACATTCAATACGAAAGTGCCAACAATTGGAGAATTATTGGAGTCGAAACTTCGCGTTTCACAACGATCCCAAAGTCTGATTTTCAGTAAAATTTTAAAGGACTCTTTTCACAATGAATAAATGCCAAACAAAGCGATGAACCATGAAGTAGAAGAGAAAAAAATTCTTACCAAAAGATGCAGAGCACTCTAAGGAGGAAAATTTAAATTCATGATACAAAATCACAATTATGCTACTCAAATGGGCACATTGGGGCATTGAAATGGCAGAGATTCTTTTTGTTCACATATTTAATCCGAAAATCTTTCACTGCTCTCAGATTTAATTAGGCAAATTGAGTATGTAACCTTCGTTTTCTCTAATGCCTTTCCAATAGTTTAATGATTAATTAATTAATTATATTGTTTTTCAATACTATTCTTTCTTCAACGTTCTCAGCCTCTGATTTATAATATTCAATTGTTATTAATAAAGTAGATAGGGCAGTTAAAGAAGTCTGTATAAATGTTCCAGATCAATGTCTACCATCCATCGATCAGATAAGGCGAGTTCATATTCACTCGTTAATGAATGAATAAAAAAATCGATTTTTCATTTAAAGTATTTCTAGTCAATTGAATTTGCTTAAACTTCAATTGCAGCATTCTTTGCGTTTTTGTGGCCTTGTACTTACCTCAAATGGCACCTGAATTTTGCTATTCTTTTACCTGACAGAAAAGTGATTTTACTGTTTTCCATACATCACCCCCCCCCCCTCACAACACGACCCCACTTCTCCCCAATTTGCGTTCATGTGTAGGCATGTATTTTCACATCGAACTGAAAATCTTCAGGAGGAGAAATCGGGTGTTTGACATCCGACATCAGAAATTGGCAGGTCCCTTACCTCTTTCTGACATCCAAAATGAACTGCAAGATTAAGGAGAAACAGGAGGAAGGGGAGAGGAAAGGAAAGGAGGAAACCAGATGAAGTTTCACTGGTGTTTCTACTTTCTCGTTCTACGCGATTGGCAATCTGCACTAATCCCACTAGGGGATAACAAATGGTCACATTGGCGTAAGACAAACACAGGATTTGACGGAAGGGGAGTTGCGTTGAGATTGAGATGCGAAGGAAGCAAAACGGGTGTTGGAAATGGTGGCTTTTACGCTGATATTTTATAACCCCCCCCCTCTCCCCTACAACCCCCCGCCCCCAAGAAACGTTACAAAGCGGAAGTGTCAACGAGTTGCGATTTTCTGTTCCGTCTTTCGACTTTCTTTAAAATTGTCAGAATTACGAGAATTTTTATTTTTATCTGTCTGGTGCACTCTTATTTAATTTCAAAGTTTGATTTAGTTAACTGAGCCAATGTATTCAAGATTGTTAGATTAAAGTAATTCACTTCTTGTTGAATTTTAAAATTGGTGTATCCAAGAAAAGAGCGCTATCACTAAACGTAGAGCAGTAAGGTAAATTTCAGGAATTTCCTCTATTTTACCAACTTTGTTTAACATTCAAAAATGTCAGAACTCCCAATAGCCGAAGGAGAGATGAGGGTTGTTCCCAAGGCAATCAATGACCTTTTAATTTAGAAATGAACCAATAATTTAACTATAAGGAAAATATATCAGATATTAATAATTAAAATAGTACCTTCTTAAGAGGAAATATGTAATAAATATGACACATCACGCTATATAATCTTTTCGCATTGGGGGTGTACGATAGACTCACCTCCACGTGGTGCACCCTGGACAACGTATGCTCATACAACAAAAAAAGTCTATTAACCGGCAGTTAACTTTTGACCTCAAATTACCATGGCCCGACTGTATGTCATATTCGACTCCTTCCACAGTACTCAACTCACCTTTTCTCTGCCTTTGTCTGTCTCTTTTACATCTCTGTATCATTATTCTGCTCCCCATCTCGACTTTTTGTCACTTCGATATTCCTCCTCATCTCTGTGACGCCTGAAGTCAGCTGAAGGGCTAATGATAACTATCAAAATGTCTGCTATCTGATATAAATAAATAAATCTTTTGGTATTGACATATCCTTTCTCTAAAGTAATGTCTTCTTCACTAACTTCAACTTTTGGTTCACTTAGTGCCGCATGGATCGTTCACTTCCGTTCCTGACAAACTATTATGTTGATTTATCCAGTTTGAGTCTCATTGCCAATTTCACTGCTGGTTTTACACTCAGCCTCCGGTTTTTTGTCGTAAAAGAGGTTTGTAGAATCATCTTTCGGCGTTCCTACTGGACTTACCCTCACTTTTCTATTTTACTTCAGTCTCTGCTCTCTTAGCATCACTTACTTTCAATAATGGTTTTATTTTTATGCTCCATTGGCCAATAATATTTGGCTCAGATTGGTTTAAAACGAGGTGTTTTGCTGGGATTTGCTGGACGTCATAGCAGACATGGCACTTCAAAATCAAAATCAGGCGCGTCCAACTGCACTTTAACCCCAAATAAACCACTTAACTTTTGCCTGTATATCAACATATTTTCAAATAATCAAATCACTGACCTTATCCTTTTCAAAGAATAAAAACAAGAATAACAGTAATTAATGGAGTGACAAAACCATAAGCCAGCTCTTAGAAGATATGACATGGAATGAAAAGTTGCTGAACTCGTAAAAAACTGATTCGAAAATAGGGGAGAAATAGGGAATCCCATTTCTTTAACAGTATTTATTAAAGGCCTTTAGATGATAAGGATTATATTTATAGGACTTTAATAATTATTTTTTTAACTAATTTATTTCTTCTATTTATCCAACCAAGCAGCTGGTACTTTGCGAAATTTCTCGAAAAAGTGTTTATTTGGAACATTAAAAGTTCTTTTCCAACAATTTATTCACTGAACCAAACTCAGTTATATCAAATGAATTTCGCACATTTTATTTTCCCAACTGCAGATGTTCCACGTCCTTTTACTTAAAGCTAAATAGTCCCATTTTTATCTGCAGGCATAAATTGCTAATGGATATTGACTCAATTTGTAGATATTATGTTCGCCGTTCAAAAGATCTACGCTCGAAAAATTGGTTGATCTATTTGGAAGGTGGGTGGTACTGTTTTGATGAAGCAACATGTATCTCACGTCAAATCACCAATCATGCGCTCTTCTCCTCACGTACTTGGCACATGAATCGATACAGTAGGTCCCTCTGTTGTCACTCTCAATAACTTCCCAATTTTTATAGTTGGCGGTGTACTCTCATGGGATGAACGAATAAATCCCAACTACCATAACTATAATATTTTGTAAGTTTATTTGTTTATTTGTTTATTAATTTAATTTTGGCTTAGATTTGTTCCATACTGCTCAAGTGATTTATGGAGTGGAAAGAAAAGGGAACGTACTGGCGGTGGGTTATTTCGATTATAAAAATCTGCTTGCAATATAAGTGTGAAATCGTGATTAGAGATTATTTTCCTAATTTTCCAGGCTATTACTTCCATGGTTCACGAATTCTCACAGCTGTTATTGATGATCTTCTCAGGCAACCCGACTTCTTCCACGCGGACAAAGTCGTCTTTGCTGGTTCAAGGTACATGTCATTAACTTTTAAGGAGACAGTGTTCAATAATAATAATAATAATTCACTATTAAGCCTATGAAAAGTGTAACAATTCCCCAATTTCAGTGCTGGAGGTATCGGGGTAATGCTTAACATCGATCGATTAGCTAGACGTCTACGAAGAAAGCTACGTTTTCTAAGAGGCAATAGACCCTCCAAAAGGTTACAAGTCAGTGGACTAGTGGACTCTGCCTGGTTTCTCAATTATCCCACCTACGCTCAACCTTACTCAGGCAGCTGCACGAGCATCTATGACTGCCCTCCAGAAGAGGGCATATTGAGAGGAATCGGGTAAGATTGGATTATATTTCTACTTAATCAATTTAAGTAGACAGTTACTTTAAGTATTGTGGCACAATTTTCAGACTTTGGCAACCGAGAATCCCACGTCGATGCAGAATGGCCCAAGGAAAGAAGAACTTTTATAAATGTTATCTGGGTCCCATCATCTACCCGCATATTCGGAGTAAGCAAAACTGCCTAAACAATTAAATTTGTTTTAAATAAAACTATCTTGGGATTAGAGCTATAAATGTGTACTTGTAAACGCAACTTTACCGGGATAAGCAATCCATTCATTGGTAAATTCACTTAAATTTCCAGGTTTTTAAAATCCTTTACGTGACGTTATTCTTGTTCCTAGGTTTTGCTAAAGTTATTTATTTTATTTATTTATTTCAAATGGCAGGAATTGATAATTATCATTAGCCCTTTAGCTGACTTCAGGCTTCACATAGATGGAGGGGGAACATCAAAGTGAGAAAAAAGTGGATAGGGGGGACAGAAAAGTGATTCAAAGATGTAAAAGGGACAGACAGACACAAATGTTGAGTAAAAGGTAAGGCGAGATTTACTGAAATGGTGGAATATATGTTTCAAAAACGAAGGTAGAAAAAGGTGAGGTGAGTACTGTGAAAGTAGTCGAATATGACACAATGTGGTCATGCTAGTTTGAAGTCAGAAGTCAGCTGCCGGTTGATAGACTTTTTTGCCCTATGAGTATACGTTGTCCAGGGTGTACCACGTGGAGGTAAGGCTATCACACNTTAGCCCTTTAGCTGACTTCAGGCTTCACATAGATGGAGGGGGAACATCAAAGTGAGAAAAAAGTGGATAGGGGGGACAGAAAAGTGATTCAAAGATGTAAAAGGGACAGACAGACACAAATGTTGAGTAAAAGGTAAGGCGAGATTTACTGAAATGGTGGAATATATGTTTCAAAAACGAAGGTAGAAAAAGGTGAGGTGAGTACTGTGAAAGTAGTCGAATATGACACAATGTGGTCATGCTAGTTTGAAGTCAGAAGTCAGCTGCCGGTTGATAGACTTTTTTGCCCTATGAGTATACGTTGTCCAGGGTGTACCACGTGGAGGTAAGGCTATCACACACCCCAGGTAAAGTACTCACACAAGACACTTGTATTCACCACCCTCCTCTATTGACATAAATTCATTAATTTATAAGCTATGCATACCATTGAACACACACAGATCAGCTGGGACCTTGTATGTTCGAAATCGACAGACTAGCAATTGATCAACATTATATTTGAATTTCCTGAAAATTTTGTTTTAATGTCAAGGTTTGAGCAACGATTTCTATTGCTCCTTGTACATTATAGACAGAAATTTGAGAAGATAATTTATTGCCAAACCGGGCTTAATTTAGGTGCCTTATTCTGATACTAAATATACGTTTATGTTTTTAACTCTAATTAAATTCTAGTTTGGTCTAATTGTTTCTCTGTTCTTTTGATGATTGAATAATTTTAAAAAATATCCCCCCCCCACATTATGGTCGAGATACATTTTAGAGATTCAGATAAGCTCAACAAAGTACTTTCACAAACTCATTAATATCAAAACCACTTTGAGCGCATTTATAAAGACATAAATGTAAGATCGGGTGGTAATTTTGTTGGCAATTACTTATAAATGAGGTCGTCTACAAATTTTTCACCATCCACGATGTAGCAGAAGTTCGGACACGTACAAAACCACACGTAATGTCAAAATATTTCGGCAAAAGATGAAAGATGGTGGAGACGGACGTGTTTTAGCGTATATTTCTCCCTGAAAGTACCTAATTATCAATAATTTCGAAATAATATTTATTTCAAATGGTGGCAGGCGTTATGATAGCTACCATTAGCCATTTAGCTGACTTCGGGCTTCACAGAGAGAAGGAGGAGCATCAAAGTAGCAGAAAGTCGAGGGGTGGGGTGCAGAAGTGCGATTCACAGATGTAAAAGAGGCAGACAGACACAAAGGTAGAGAAAAAGGTAAGATGAGTACTGTGAAGGGGTCGAATATGACATACAGTGGGGTCATGCTAGTTTGAAGTCAGAAGTCAACTGCCGATTAATAGACTTTTTTGCCGTATGAGTATACGTTGCCCAGGGTGCACCACGTGGAGGTAAGTCTATCGAACACTCCAATTTCGAAATACTATATTCTGCTAGAAAAATATAATTGCGACATTTTAATGGGGTCATTATGCTTAATTTGCGGGTAGAGGAAAGCATACATTCACGATGAGCATCCCAACCCCTTGACCTTGATCCCCGATTTCATTT